ACAGCCGAGCGTGGGTCCCACCACACTTACGCTCTTTCTGGAAGAGCGTAAAGTCAGGGCCGTAGTCCGCGATGTTCCATTTAAACTCGCCAACGAAGACATCGTTTAGGACCTTAAGCTCCAAGGATTTCCAACGATTAAGATTAAAGGCAAGAGGTTACCGCTTGTCCTTGTAATCTTGACCAACGTGCCGGAGACAATAGCCATCTTCCGACAGGTACGTACAGTGTGCGGCCTGTCGAGAGTGAGGGTTGAGCCCCCACGCAGGCGCGATTTCCCGGCGCAGTGCCACCGTTGCCAACTTTATGGGCATGCGGCGGCCATCTTGTCTACCCCACCCAGGTGCGTTAAATGCCTAGATCCGCATAAGTCAAAAGAGTGTCCTTGGCCACAAAACGCCGAATCCCCACCCGTGTGCCTCCTGCGCCAGCAGTCGGGCCACCCAGCAAATTACAGAGGCTACCCTCGCGCACTGCCGGTCAATGACAGGTCAATCCCGGCCTTCCCTTCAAGAATGCCTCGTCAGGGCCTTTTCCAACCCCTTCAGGGCCTCTCTTGGCCCTATCAGGGCCCCCACGGCCCCCTCCGGCCTTCTTTTAGCCTTCACAGCCTCCAGTTTTCCCATGGGGCCCTAAAAAGGCCGACCCTACGCGTACGTCCTCCACCCCACAACAGGCACAACCCTCAATGGTTGATGACCTGAATACGGTGTCTTCCGCTATTCGGAGCGTCAACATTGTTGAGATTGCCGTCCTAGCACGCAAACTGCTTTTCCAAAGTCTCAAGGTTGTATTTAGCCTAAGGGTTTATCGCTTGTGTCTTTTGATATTTGCGGGTTGCGAAATAACCTCCCAGAGCTTAAGCTCTTTCTTCGAGATCCCAAAGCCGACCTCCTCCTCCTCCTCCAGGAAACCAATCTTAAATCTAAGGACATCAATGGCCTTTCCATTCAAAAGTTTCGTCCTCTTCGTAACGACAGATCTGACCGCAAAGGCGGCGGTACTGCCATTTAGTACAAGAAGACACTTAATTATTCTCACATTCCTACTCCGCAGATTACCAACATGGAAGCCACGGTCAGTCAAGCCATGACTGGACATCAGTCCATCGTCATAGCCTCCTGCTACATCCCCAGTTGAACCCTCCCCCTCAAAAAAGAGGCTATCTTATCTATAGGCAACCCAGTCATTATGTTTGGAGATTTTAACTCCAAGCATACTGAATGGACCTGCCTATCTACTTCGCAGAGTGGCAAGATACTGCCTGACATCACGCAGTCTCTTGACTTTACCGTCCACAGTTCCCTTGGTGTCACTCACTATCCGGACAACACCGACCATGCTCCCGACGTGCTAGATTTTGCCCTAGTTAAAGGAAATTTCCCTCAACCTCAGGGCAATCGAGACTCTAGACGATCTAGGATCCGACCACCGACCGGCTTCCCTCTTTCTTGGCTATCAGTCACATCTTTCAACCCCCTCCACGAAAACCTTCACTAACTGGAAGAGCTTCAAGAAGTCTCTAGCCAAAGCTATGAACTCACAGGAATCTCCCATCTCCCTCTCGTCGGACTTCGACAGTCCCGAAAAAATTGACACCGCGGTCGATTCTCTCTCCACCTTTATAAAATCCTCCCTTAAGGAGAATGAAAGATTGTTAATAATAATGGTCTTTCCCTACATATTATCAACCTAATGGAAGTCAAGAGAGATGCTTTCCGGAGAGCAGTTATCTATCCCACCCCCGACTATAGGCGTACGGCCAATCATCTTCAACGAGATGTCCGTTTCCGCCTCTCCGAATTTCGAGACCTCTAAAAGAGTAAGCTCATGGAGAATATCGCTCCCTCTTATACAGCGTACTATCAGATAGCGAAAGCCCTCCGCATAGACGCTATCATCCAACTCCCCCTCTCTCCCGTCCCGACGGTACAGTTGCCTTCGAGGACGAGGAAAAGGCTGAGTGCTTTGCAGACAGCATTGCCGCACAATGCTCCCCTAGCTCTCAACCCACCGAACCCTCCCACATCCAGACAGTGGAGAATGAGGTCCGCCGCCGGAACTCACCCTCCATAGCCTCTGACCCTATCACTGTGTCCAATGATAAGATCTCATCCGTCATCAAAGGACTGAAGCGCCAAAAAGACTCCGGGCGCGGATGGCATCTTCAACCAAGCCCTTAAACATTTTCCTGAGCAAGTATTAACCCTTTTAGCTATTATATTCAACCTTAGTTACTTTCCCACTACGTGGAAAGAGGCAACTGTCATTGGTATCCTCAAGCCAGGAAAGCCTCTCAACCTCCCCTCCAATTATCGTCCCATCAGACTCCTCAAGGCCATGGGCAAACTCTTCGAATGAGTTATCCCTACTCGCATGAGGCTCCAATTGTTTCCCATAGACGGTGACCCTCTTGTCACCCCCCACCAATTTTGTTTCCGAGCGAAACATTCTTGTCCCTAACAAGTTCACAGTATTGTGGAATATATCCTCAGCGGTTTCTATCCTCGTCGTCATAAGACCATCGCGGTATTTTTCGACATTGCAAAAGCGTATGATAGAGTCCGGCACGAAGGCATTATCTACAAACTCTACAGAATAGGCCTCCCTGATCGTCTTGTTTGTCTCGTGGCCTCCTACCTGAAGGATCGTACCTTTCGTTTCAGACAAGAAGGCACGCTCTCCTCTCAGCGCCCCATCAAAGCCGGTGTCCTTCAGGGCTCAGTGCTTGCCCCTCTCCTATATATACTGTTCACCAACGACATTCCCATCCCGTCGAAAGGTGTTCAGCTCTCCCTCTTCGCTGACGACATTGCCCTCTTTTGTAAAAGTATCTCACAATCTTTCATATGGAACAAGATCCAAAAGTCAGTTGATGAATTAGGAGCTTGGTTTTAAAAATAGCGCATCGATGTGAACCCGCAGAAGAGCTCCGCCGTTCACTTCGATCATAAACGACGCCGCCTTATTAACATTCCGCCAATCCGTTAGCTAGGGACCCCTGTCCCCTGGAATACGACCGCCAAATATTTAGGCTTCATCGTTTACACGAGTTTACACCTTCAGGCCCCATGTCAAAAGAGTAACCCGCAACGCGCGTTTCTATCTGGGTAGGCTCAACAGCATGCTGGGCCGACACAGTAAAATGTCCCTCCGCAACAAGCGAACCCTTTATAAGGTCTGCATATGACCAGTCATGACTTACGCGGGCCCCATATTTACCCACGCTAAACCCAAAACCATTAACGAACTCCAAGTAGTTCAAAACCTCTTCTGTCTTCGAGCTACGAACTCACCTTGGTACGTTCGTAACGCCGACCTCCATCGACACTTAGAGCTCCCCACAATCCAACAATTTCTAAAAACATCCTCTGATAACTTCTTCAAAGCCTCAGAGTCTCACTCTAATCACTTCATTCGTGAGGCAGCTTCCTATGCAGCCCCACTTCCCCCTCGCTATCAAGTTCGAAGACCGAGAAATTTTCTCTCGGACCCGCCGAACAAACTTTCGGCCGACCTGAACTGCCTCCTAGCGGCTCAGGCCGACTCTTCTTAATTTGCCTTAGATAGGCTTCCTCTCAGCGGCTCGATGTCGCCTGCGCCCCCTTTTTCCTAAAGAGGGTCGCTTCCGATTCGGCAGAAAGGCCTCATAAGCCAATGCCAGTCTCACAGGTGGTGTTTAGTGGGTAGGCACTTAGGTTAGGTTAGGTTAGTCGCAGTGAGTCCCACATAACCACGACTTTTGGTGTGGACTGTTGGATTCAGAGATTGATTTATTCATTGCGTGCTCCATTTTTACTATTAAACAGGGTAATTGTACACTCGTAGCGAAGCGAAACCAAAGGCACGTCGTAGCAGATAGTCGTAGTTTCGTAGCACGTAGCAGAGAGGCGGAGTTTGTAGCGACCACCGTAGCACTAGAGTAGATATTTGCGGTGCAATGTTGGAGCGAGATCAAAAATAACAGTCTGTATTGTTCTCGCAGGGGTGAATGAGGTCCCTCCGCTCGCTGATGACTGCCGTGACCGATGCACTTATTTAATTTCCTTTGTCTTGTTTATGGGAATTTCGTATTTAATCACTTAGATTTATTGGCTTGTTTAGCATATCAGTTAAGTACAATTTTTAGATCGACGCGACACACGTCTGCTCGCTTGTGCGTTCTCGGACGAAGAGGCAAAAAGACCCAAAAAACGCGACACAGTTATAATAATATACTTATTGTTCTAGTATGGAAAATAGAGTTTTTAAATACTAAACTATTTGGGAAAGTCTGTCCTTAACGGGAAACTGGAAAATTCGTATTTGAGGCAATAAACCAGCCTCGATGCATTTTTTTTATTTCGGATTATTTGATTGCGGGTTGAATAATAATCAATCATTGGAAATAATTTCATGCAGGATTGAACACCCAATGTTGACTGCATTGCATTTAAGTATAGAATACAATTTGTTTTCGCAACAGTCTGCGGTAGCATTATAATTTATTTTGTTTATAATACTTTATGCATAAATTACGGTATTTATGTAATTATTACTTATTATTGTGTTACACTTATTTACAAATGAATACAGCTGTATGCACATCTAAGTATTTTATTTATTATTTTACACATGGTTTAAATAAAAGAGTTAATAAATGTAAATATAACTCATTAGTTAAAGAATTAACAATACTTATAAACGCATCGATTATACGGATATTGTCCTCATATTACTCATACTTCTATTAAATATACGCTCTTCCTATAATAAGCAAGATTAGCTGTAATCATCACATTTCGCAGATGATTTTTTTTTTAATTTAAGTGTGACAGATGGGATATTTTAACGTGTATAATTTTAAAAGTCATTCTTTTTAAACCTCAACGATTCTTTCGTTTCGTTAGAGTTGCGATGCGCTCAAAATCAGAATTTAAGACAACTAATATAAATAATTATAAATACAACTAAAATTTTAATATTAAAATATTAGGGGTGTATTTCATTTTCACAACTCACCTGAAAATGAGCTTGGATTGCCACTGCTCTAAATATAATAGAAGCTTCGTGAACTCGCGTCTCTAAAGGCTTTTCAGCAAACTTTGGACATTGGCTGTCACAAACGATTGTTCGGCACAAGAACAAAACTAAAACCAACAGATCTCTATTAGACACTCTGCCCTTTGAAGGGTATAGCGATTGTTCTGCCATTTTAAATCTAATATCTCCGGAGTTTAAGTTATATATTCCAAACATAGATCCATCTCACATCACTTAATTTAGTCTTCCCTTTTCTTTGACGTTTCCTTTTTTGCATAGTTTATCTGTAACAAAGAATTAAGAGTTAGTACTAACGTTATAAAAATCGTTCCAAAATTGTAGCTACATGTTATAATCATAACCAATTTTGACTAAGATGCAATCGAACCGATAGCTACCGTACGGTACTGTGCAATTAATATTATAAAAGTAAAGTTGTGATACATCTTATATACCTATACGTCCCTCAATTGGACACCGGTCTCCTCTCATTTCAGAGCAGGTTTTGGAGCAATTAGCCTGCAACCAACTGCAGTGTGGGTTGGTGGACTTCATATGTTATTCCTTAGACGCACGGATTTACTTACGATGTCTTTCAACATCATATATTAAGCATACTTAAGCGTATTTTTATATAGGTAAGTTTATATGTTTTATTTTTTTTATTGTTTACTGGTAAAGATTTCAGGTAAAGATTCCAATAAGTACGCTGATTGTACCTGTTGACCTTTGAATATTTTCTGAAATATAAGAGCTGTTAGCCTTTTGACTTTCACAGCAGTTTGTCACAGGGCAGTTTTATAAAAGATAATAATGATAATGATGATACTGATTATGATGATGATACTGATGATGGTTCTGTTCATGACCAATACTCAAAACACCTTTGGGATGTTTGTGAGTTATCTAATCGAAAGTGGTAAGCCTTCTTTTGATGACTACAATAAAGTTGCGACTTCTCTTATAAAATTGTAGCTTCTTCTCCCCCTTATTATACTGCATCTGTAGAATTTCTATTCCTTGAAGTTTGCGTAAAAGGAGCTAAATTGATTCTTGGTGTTGTTTACTGTCCTCCTTCTGTCCATTACTTCTCCAGTCTTGAAACGATTCTGGAATCCTTGGGGTCCGAATACTCACATCACATTATCATAGGCGATTTTAATACAGACCTCCTGACTCCGCACTCATCCCGTTCCTCTAAGCTCCTTCACATTGTCGAGTCGGTTGGCCTCCACATTTTACCTTTACAAGCCACTCACCACAATATTGATGTAGAGGATACCTGGCTTGACTTAATCCTTACCTCTGCTCCTTCTCTTGTCTTCTCCCATGGTCAGCACTTTGCACCTGCTTTCTCCTATCATGACCTCATATTTATTTCTTACGTCCTAAAACCTCCTAAACCTCCAGCTAAAACTCTTCACATGCGTTGTTTTGGTCGCTTAGACTTTGTATGGATGCATCCAAAATAAACTGGAACAGCGTGGTTTCTGCATCCACTGTGGACGAAAAGATAGAGGCTTTGAATGAAGCTATCCTTAGGCTATATGATGTACATGCTCCGATTAAAAAAGTGAAGCTCAAGCGTCCACTTGCGCCATGGATGACGATTGGGGTTCGAATTGCGATGAGACGTAGGGATCGGGCTTTTGGCAAATATAGAAAAGATCGATGTGATGAGAACTGGACTCTTTATAAAGTTGCAAGGAACCGGTGCAATCAGATGATACGCAACGCCAAACGCCGATTTATTCTTAGTAACATCTCATCTTCTTCCCCTGCTAATATCTGGAATTTCCTTGGAACCTTAGGTATCGGTAAACGACAACGTTGTGAGTTTCAGAAGACGATTGGTCTGGATGATATTAATTTTCATTTTGTCTCCAACAGTCCTCTTGATCACCAGACCAAGCGTCTTACTATTGAACACTTAATGGGTTTACCTCGTCCCGATATTGATCTCTTTCAATTTTCTCCAGTAGCTATGGATGAAATCAAGAAGACAATCCTATCCATTAAATCTAATGCTGTAGGTTGCGACAACATCAGCCGACGGATGATTATCTTTATACTTGACCATATCCTCCCTGTTATCTCGCACATCATTAACTTCTCCTTGGATTCTGGTGACTTTCCTTCTTTGTGGCGTAAGGCTTACGTTATTCCATTACAAAAGATCACAAATCCCACTCTACCCAATCATTTCCGACCTATATCCATCCTTCCCTTCTTATCCAAGGTCCTTGAGGCCTGTGTCCACAAGCAACTTTCGCAGTTTATCTCCTGTCATAACTTACTAAGTCCCTTGTAGACTGGCTTTAGGCCCGGTCATAGCACCGTTTCCGCACTCCTGAAAGTAACTGGTGATATAAGGGCAGGCATAGAGGATACTAAAGTCACTGTGTTGGTTTTAGTTGACTTCTCGAACGCCTTTAATACCATCAGTCATGACCTTCTAATTTCCATCCTTTCCCTTTCAATGGTCTCATCCGAAGCACTGGATTGGTTTTCATCATATCTTCGAGGTCGCCAGCAGTCGGTTCGCATCGATGAGCTATCATCTAGCTGGCTTGACTTACATGCTGGTGTTCCTCAAGGCGGCATATTATATCCTTTGTTGTTTTCTATATTTATTAATCTCATTACCCAAGACCTTCAGTCTGCGTATCATCTGTATGCCGATGACTTGCAACTGTACACACAAGCGAGTATTGACAATATTTCTACAGCGGTGGACATAATTAACAGGGACCTTGAGTATATTAAGAACTGGTCTGACAGGTTTGGCCTAATGGTCAACCCTTCGAAGTGTCAGGCCGTAATAATTGGTAGCCGTCGGATGATTCATAGATTGAAAACGGTAGCTTTACCTCCTATCTTTTTTAATAGTACTGAGATCCAACTGTGTTCTACTGTGAAGGATCTAGGTTTATTAATTGATTCTACTTTGAGTTGGAAAGACCAAGCAATGACCGTTAGCCAGAAAGTTACCGGTACCCTGCGTTCTCTCTATCGCCTAAAAAATTTTCTGCCATCTGCAATCAAAGCAATGCTTGTGCAAAGCTTAATTTTTCCCCTAATCGACTATGGTGATGTGTGTTATTTCGACCTGAATGCAGATCTTCTCAATAAATGTGACCGTCTTCTGAATAACTGCATTCGATTCATTTTCAATCTTCGAAAGTATGATCATGTATCCACGTATCGATCTCAATTAAAATGGTTACCTATTCGTCAACGCCGTAGTTTGCGTGCACTCACTACCCTTTATTCTATCCTGATGTCTCCAACTTCCTGTTCCTACTTATCTCCATACTTTCAGTTGCTTAGCGCTAGTCATGAGAGAAACCTCCGCTCTACGAACAACCTTCTTCTCCTATGTCCCTCCCATAGCTCTGGACTTGTTCATTCTTCTTTCCACATTCAATCTATTCTCCTTTGGAACGCACTACCTCTCGAAATCAGGACGGCTAGCAATCGTTACGCGTTCAAGATGAAGGTTCGGCAATACTTAACTAATAAATTGGCAGATTCATCATAGTAATATTTTATATATATTTTATATATAAATATATATATTTGATTATGTCTATAATTGTATATCTTCATGAGTTTACATACATCTGACGTTTTAATTTGTACTTAAGTAATATACATTTTTATTATCTTATTATTTTTATCATAATTTATTTTATAAGTTATTATATATATATATACATATATATATATATTATATTATATTTTTATTACCATTTATATCTTATGTATTTTATTTCGATGTGCTACAATTTTTTTGTTATTTTAGTTTAGTATTAACATATTACCTTTTTATTACTCCTACTTCATTATTATATATCTGCATCATCCCAAGGTAGACTGGTAGAGAATGCCTTAGGCATTAAGTCCGCCTATATACCACATGTGTATATGAAGTTTTAAATAAATAAATAAATAAATTAATAAAGTATGAGCAAGGTACATAAAAAAGCTTTTATTTAAAAACTAAATAAGACAAAAGAGGATGTTACGTTGATCAATCAAGAGTTTTACAGGAAAACAGCTCAAAAGGATTTATAAAGCATTACCATTTAATCTAACAAAGTAAGCCGACTTAAGATTCTCATCGTGTTAGTTGAGTATTAGGAGACTCAAAGTATCTCTCTCCACGCCTTTACTTGCGTAAGAGATATGGTAAGCGTTGTGCACACATACTTAACGATGATACCATTTGCATTCCTTGTGTGACCAATAGTGTTATCAATATATCAGATGTCTAATACATCTAGAAAAGCTAAAGAATTATTTGTCTCTAACTCCATTGTGAGAGTTTATGGAGTTCAGATGGTCTAAAATGCAGTTACTTTATTACATGGTAAAAATGTTCAAGTATCGTCTACGTACCGCTTGCAGAATCTTAGATTTACTGGAAAATAAGAAAGGCTTTCTCCATAAAGTCCTCCACCGTCTACTTGCTTGTAGAACTCTCTACAAGATGCAGAAGTGTACAAACTTGATTGTGAATGTTGTCTCTCTTACATAGGACAAATAAAAAGATCTATAAGAACCCCCCTAAAATAATATATAGCTGACGATAAGCACCGACGCTCTAGAAAGGGTTCAAGATCGACGCCGCCATTACATACGATTTGAAAGATCTAAAATCTGCGCAAAAGAACACCAATTCCTACCAAAGATGTTTCGCGAGGCTTCCCATCTGCTTTGCTTCGTGGCTTGCCATCAATACAGCCTTTCACAAGTTGACTGCTGAATATAGGCCTCCCCCAAGGAATGCCACAAAGCACCGTTCTGAGCCACCTGCATCCATCGACTTCCTGCATATCTTACCAGATCGTCATTTTATCTAGGAGGGAGGGGGTCGCCCTACACTTCGCCGACCAGTACGAGGCTTCCACTCAAGAAGCTTTTTTATCTGCTTAGGATACCAATTCATAAAAAGTTATCTATACCACTGCAAGACTTCAGGCTACTATAAGCCTATGGGTATATGGGTATTTCTCATACTAATAAATGGAGGATGATTTTTTTTACCTGTCTATTCCATCATGTGGGGTATCGTTGGATGTTGGATAGGTCTTTGAAAAACATTGGGGGGTATGGAACAACATATTTTCGATTCAGGGATACGTTTACGAAATATTTAGCTTTAATAT